ACTTGCGTGGGCTTGTAAGTGGCTCTTTACCAGCCCACTGGGCATGTAAAGGCTACTTTACAGCCCAAACAGTAAATTTCCAATCCATGTGTTGCGAATTCCCAGCCCACTGAACTGTAAAATTACTAATATTTTTTACAGTGTGCCTTTTTGAAACGTCAGGTCATATGACACCCTGATCATGATTGTGATTTTGTGTGAATGTGAAGTAATTGTGTCCGATTGTTTCATGATTGTTTATGTTTTTCATAATGTACACATATTGTCTAGTTCCACACCCCTCGATCAACGCAATCATTGTGCCCAGAAATGAAAAGTGAACGAAATTGAAAAATTGCACAGAGAAAAATGTTTTTATGGAGCAACTAAAATTAGATTAGGGCATCAAATATGTTTCGTGATATATCGATTGATGAAACGTTAAGTTAGGATATCTAAAGTAGTTTCATTACTTCCACTGTTCACCAGTACCGTAAGAGGCGCGGTTAAGTCCGTCTGACGGAGGGAGCGATTTGTTGTGGGTTGCCTACTTTCAGGGGTTTTGGCGGACAAATTGCCTACCCACCCCAGGGGGAGAGAGGGCGGGGGCAAAGGGGCGATCGCCCCGACCCCAAAACCACGCCTGACCAGTAACGAATACCTTTACACCAGTAATAAAACTAATAAGTCGTGGGTACGATGTAGGTTTGATCGACACTGCATCTAACAAGTACTGGGAGAAAATTGTTACGCTCCGGCTGGGATTCGAACCCCTGCCGGACCCGACTTACAATACAGCCGCCAGGAACGGAGACCACTGAACCATCACGGCATCTGGGGCGTCAGACCTGCGCAACACGAGTCTGTTCAGTCCCTCAACTGAGTGTCGCTCTGTGGACTTGCACGATTTTCAGTACGGCCGAATACACGTAGGCGCGTACCTTCGAATATCATTTCCACCTCGTCCTTAAAAAAAAAAAATGGAGAGATTCCCCAACAAGCCCTCTCTGTTGCGACAATTGACCGGAGTTCGATTGCCTCATTGATTTTTTTAGGATGCACCACTCCAACACGTCTCGTGTCGAGGAAGAGCAGTTTAGACATTTACATGATACTGTCTGTTGTTTGAAACCAAACCTTTCGTAGACTGCTCACGGGTTGGATCGTTCAAATGCACATTAGTGCCAGCATCTCAATATTTTTCTAAGTGTGTGCTCCAACGCAATACCTTAGGATGAACCGGCGGTAAGAACAGGAAACAGAAATGAATGGAATTTTCTACTTACTCTTTGTAAAATTAAAAACAACTGCCGTCGGTAGGTTGTAAGAATCGTTATCTCCTCAGGAGAATATCCTTGCAGAAGGAAATAGTTCCCGAGCTCAGCAGCGAAGTCAGCCTCTAGATCGTTGTGGTAACCCTTACCATCCTTGAACAGTAGAAATAAAAAGTCTTTGAAAATAATATGTTAAACTTTCAATTTCACAATACAAGTATGACAATTTCTTGTGGTACTGTCTGGCCAATTCAGAATTACTGTGTGCGTATCAGACAAAACGTGTGCCATACCCGGCCGGCCAGACCTACAGCCAAAGCAACCCTCTAGTCGAAAAAGTGGCAAAATCTTTCCTAGAAGGTGCATTATTTAAAGCCGTTTCGGAGCTAAAGTTAAACTTTATGAACGCAACCGCATTACGGCTCTTTTAATGATTCTTTCACTTCACTGGAAAACAAAGGTGCTATCTAATGCATTTCTGCACGCGTTAGTGAAACTGTGCCTTTCAGGAGGCGCGACTAGACCCTAAAGGTAAAGGTGCTATTTTTGGCAACTGTAGTGCCTTAACAAAGGCATTAGTTGGCACCTTTAAAAGGTGTTATACAGTACCTTTGTTTTTCCAGTGTTTTCAGGGGAAATATCAGCTCCTACCATTTCTGAGATGAAAGAAATCACACTAATACCATAAAGTTTTCCCTCAAATATGGAGGTTCTGGACTGGAAATAAAAGTGTACGAATGTCGCTTACTAACAAGTGAGCGAACTATTCGGTCACTTAGAGGTGAGCAAATACTGAGAAAAATTTCTATGGTAGATTTCCTAGTAATGTATTTGCGGCTTTTAACATATACATGTATGGAGATTTTCCCATACAGGTGTGTGGTAATTCTACCATATGCAATAGTATTCTTACCATGCAAAGTAGGAATTTTTCCATACACCTAGGTAGGATATGTACTACACTGGTAAAACAAGTGTGCAATATTTGCACACCAAACGTGTGCAAGTTGTGATTTTGCACATTATACGGTGTTTAACTCAAGTTGCACACTTACGTGGTGTGCAAATTTTAGACGTTTTGTAAACGTTTAAATTCTGCACACTTGGACACACACAGTTCTATGCTGTCAGTAGGGAACGATACGGTGTGCAGCTGCCATACGTTCCGGAATTGACGTATAACATAGTTAGACACCACAAAGTGTCGAGAAAATGCACACTTGAACTTAAACGTCAATTGACGTGCAAAATTAAACACTTGTTTTACCAGTGTATTTGTGTGTGGTATTATCCCTTCACATATAGGTATTTACTCACACAACCGATGCCCTTTCAAAAAAGAAAAAGTTTTTATCCCCTCCTTTCCCGCCTCTTTCCCTGTTCTTGTAAAAAGAAAATTGCGATTTTACATAAAAAGCATGTAAAACTTTACATTACATGTATGTAAAATTAAAAGCACTGGCATTTTTACGACTTGTTTTGTTGTAAATATTCAAACTATGTCATTTTACAGAAGTCTTATGGTAAATTTAACATAATCATGAAATTTTCCCAGTGAAGTGAGGTAAATTTACAAGACTTATTGGTAATATTGCTACTGAAACTGTGCAAAAATTTTCCAGGCCTTACGTAATTTTACAGAAAAACTGTAAATTTGCCCAGAATATACGTAATTTCACGGCGCAGAGGTAACTCGACATTTTTGACTGTAATTTAATGGACGGCAAGGCAGGGATACAATGACACTGCCAGGAGTATACCGCTTGTAGTTTAACTTGCACAACTTGTTTGGGTTGACGCGTAAGATCAGTAGCAAGGCAGCGGGGCATGGGGTGAAATGAAAACACCCAGGTGGAACATGAGGTCGGAAAATCCCTCATCGCCCCTGCAGTGGCACACGGCCGCAGCCCGGTCCGCCGCCCGGCCCGCCGCACTTCTCACAACTGGGCAGACTCAGGGATCGGCAAGAGGCTCTGGGGTGACTCGGGGTCACTGGCGGTGGGGCTCTCCACCCTTAGGTCTGTTGATCATTGTAATGGGACCGCGGCACAAAAAAAGTCGACATCGGCTTTAGATAAGAGTGTGGACCCGGTGGCTGGCCGTAAGTCTGGTCATAGATTCGTCAAAACTTTGTATTTTTCATCGAACTGTCATTATTACAGTAAAGTTGACTCTAGTTTTGAAAAAAATGGCCCAGATTTGCTTGCTGTGTCCTACGACACTGCGATCAAACAATTTTTCGCTCTTTTTGACACAGCAGCACATCACTTTCGACTATGAAGTAAACATTCTATTAGTATTCAAACGATTCTACACATTATACAGTAGAAACCCGATGCAAACTTAAGCGCGACAAAATAGTTTCGTGTCTGTGCTGGAATGTTGGTGGCAAAAGCAGCCTGCTCTGCCGGACGAGGACGCTCTTCAGCCATCTGGCTGCCGTGCCAAGTCTGAGGTCTTACCTTGTAAGAAGGAATATTATTGAAGAAACCTACATTACATCCTCAAATTACTACATCCTACTTCATGAAACAGGTGCGTAGTATAACTCAGTACAGTAATGTCCCTCTCGAAGCTGGCAAATCGGGACCGGATTTCAGCTTCGAGAGGACGACCCGAAAGTTAGCCACATGTTGCGAACCTATTGTATTGGCGCGCACTCGGGCATCAGGCGGTTGTAAATGCTTTGTCGCCCGAGCTCGCGCGAGCTCGCCAGGTTGTAAACCCCCATCCTTAAGCAGGGTCCGTCTCAAAATTTCAGCTTCGAACGAGCCAGCTTCGAGAGGGACATTACTGTAAACCGTGTGATGCAAGAAGTCTAAAACACACTGCCGATCAAAATAAGGTGCGCACTTTTTTGAGCTAGCGTATTTTTTAAGTCTCTTGAGCCAGAACGTCGAGATTTGGCCTGAGGACGTCTCCATGGTTCATCTTAGACCCCACGAAGTGCGCCAACCCATACCTACGGCCTGTGCAGCCCCTAGAGGTAGCAGGGGTAGAAAATCCGACCAAAAAAGGATCCGAATTTTTTACTTAAAATAATCGGGAAGTCCAAATTTTTGGTGTACCGGCTCAGCATAGTTTACACTCAACAATATGTTCTGGAGCTCAAACAAAGATATATAGTATCCAGTTCTACTTTAACAGATAAAAAATGCTCAATGACATCCAATCTCTTTTTTTTTTGTGAGAATTCTTTTCTGCTCACCTCCAAGAGAGCGACATTCGAATAATTGGATTTCGAGTGTGTGTACCCTTTTCCCCCCAAAAAATAATTATCAAACATTTCTTTTACCAAAGAAGTCCCCCGCTCGCCCACTCGCTATACACTGGCCCGCTACCAATTCGTGTTCAACTCGCAAGTACTCGCAACTCGGAAGCTCGCTGTGAAGCCAGTGAACGGGGTACCCCTCGGTTTTTCCCGTGCATGCCTCTCTGCTAACCTGAGTTTCTGGGGACTCGTGATCCACCATGAACACTGCATCGTCCAGGTCGACGCCGGCGATCCTGGGCCGGTCCTCCGTCGTTGGGTGATTGCGTAGGTCCGGGTACACGCCACCGGGCCCGCTCACCAGGCGAGCGATGGCCGGCCGCATGCGGCGCTGTTCGTTTAGCATGGGACAGTCGGCGCCGTTGCGAATGAGACGCTCGAACAGCGACAGGTCTAGGCCGTGAGATGCACCAAGTAGAGGGTTCTCGCAGCTGGGCCGCAGTTGCCTATGGTCACCTGCGTATAACAGCTATATTTATTAGACGAAGGTAAGGTGCCCAGTAATGGGCACAAAAGAATCAGCATGTGTGAACAAAATTTGTACATATGGGGGCACAAAAGCGTGTGTATTTCAAATGAACATTCACACCTTTACTCTCTTAAGTGTACGAATGGGCATCCACACACATCCATTTTTGTGACATTCACACACTGGGGTTTCTAGTGCACAGACCCTGGTTGAGCTACAACGGAACCAGCGGAACGCGACTGATCGAACGACACGTAACACGGAAAAAGTTTTTCTTGGATTTCAAGCCTATTTCATGGATTTTAAGGACGGGTGGATAATTTCCAGATCGAACCTTGCAATTCTAGGATCTGCCTTGAAACCATTTTCCTCCAAGGAAAAGCCTTCGAATTTTCGTCAAGTAATCCAAGGCAACCCCTTGCAAATCAGACCAAAAATTCCAAGGCTTTTCCTTGGAAGCAATTGGTTTCCAGGCAGATCCTGGGATTTCAAAGGTCGATCTGGAAATTATCCACCCGTCCTTGAAATCCACAAATTCGTCTTGAAATCGAAGGAAAATTTTTTACCGTGATACTGAACGTCAGACTTACCAATCTGAATAAGATGCTCCGTGCTGAACGGTAGACTAGCCAACACGTAGCCTTCTAAAGCCTCTCCAGCCTCCTCCACAATAACTATAATAAAGAAATAAAATTCGTTATTTTGAGAGAGTGTGCTGGCTCGCGTACTCTAAGAGACGGAGTCAGGTCCGTCCCCCTTTACATAATTTAATTACTAAAAGTTGAGGTTACAAAATTTATAAATTAAAAGAGCCAATATCAAGTCCCAAAACGTAGAATTCTCAATAACAACTTTCC